CCTTTTTGAGTTCTTTTAGTGAGTTTCAAACCAGTAAGTGTTTGTGATGTGCTTGAATCTTACTGTGAGTACTGAAATTCACTCAGCAAATTCTGTTCTGCTAAGTGTTCAACATCTTCAATAGCAGCTTTAAGTAGATTAGTGCTGAGAGCCTGAGAGAATTACAGCTCCCAGAGGACTTCTCAAGCGAGGCATGCAGGCATGAGCAGCCAAGATTAGTGGTTCTCAGGCTTCTCATAACTCCTTGGCTAATTAAGGTGCAGCCACACAGCGTTTGAAAGTGTACATGCAAACTAACTGGGACTGCTGCAGCTTCATGGATGATGAGCTCCATAACAGCTGACACAAGAACTGCTGAAAGCCTCACCAGCATCTCAGCTTAGCCACAGTACCAGGAACCCCGTGCTGTGGCTGCCAAGTGTCCCAGTGCGCCACTAAGCTTGCAGAGCCAGCTCTTTCCCACTTGTTCAGCTGACTCTCCCAAGTATTGCAAGGGAAACGTCCTCACCTCTGCAGCTGTGGAGGTCAGCAGCATTTGGTCAGAGTTGCAGGTAACAAGTTAGATCTGAAGCTGCCCCCACCACAAGCCTAACAAAGAGCAGAAAGGTGAATATGTTTTTTTGACGACCGGGCCTGTGTTCTCAAGGCCTTCCCTGGGAGATGTGTAATTGAAACAAACAGAATAGGCAGCAACAGAAGGCAGCCAAGTTTGTGCAATCTTACCTCAAGCTGTACTGTAGAAAACTTGCCCACCACTAAGCCCATTTTGTGAGAATGCAATTCCTTGTCAGCTGCTTCCCAAGATGACAGTTTTGCCAGGAAACTCAACCTGTCTAAAGAACACCTTAACAAAACAGTAGAAAGAACCTGAGTATTTTATTATTGCTGACTTGATTAAAGATTCAAAACAGTGAAATTACAGTAATCCATGGTGCTGAGTCTCTAGAGATAACACTAAACTATTCACATCTAACCTATAAACTAATGTAAATACCTTATTATGAGGCACTATTAATCTACTGAAAAATTAGCTCTTTTCCTTACTAATATCATTATGAGTTTCTGCACACATACATAGTCCAAAGCATTGTGATCTCCAAATTCAATAGAAGTCAACTCCTTTTTGTGCTTCATTACCTTTTTTCTTGCCATACTGTCTTTCTGAGTGAATTAGGATGAAATGAAAGGCACAAAGGAATAAACTTTGAAATGTTTTGAAACATGATTGGTTTTTTGCCTTGCTAATAAATGGGGGTTTTTTTCTCCAAATGCAGCATTTTTCAACAACTTATACAATAGGTAAACACAAACCACCTTAAAAATTTTTCAAAATAACAGAATCTTCCTTATGCAAATACTCAGTAAGTAAGAAAACAAAGTTACCAAAGTAAGGCTTCATGAAGAATCAACCTAAGACTGCCATCTTGCCCTTCCTTCACTCACATACTCCCACTGCCTTCTTTGTGTTGGCAGTAAAGCTTGTGACCAGGAGGCAGATTAGCCACCTGGGGGGCTGAAAACTAAATAAGCAGAAAAGATAAATAGCAAAAGGAGCAAGAAGACACAATTTCATCTCCTGGTAGCAGACTATATTTACATCTGCTTAAGCCCATCAAAAAAAATCACATGCTGAAGCCTCTTGGATAGTAGGTCACAAAGGGTCTACAGTAATGTAAGATAGATCCAGGACCTGTTTTAGGAAATAACTTATTTTTGACATAACTGCTAGTATTTATGTAAACTCCAATGTGAATTTGTAAATGATCTCACACATTTGCTTATAAATATATTATAGCTTTGGACAGGAAAACTAATCAATGGTTACAGACCCTCTGACTGGTGGAAGGGCTGTAATATGGGGTGGTAAGACCGCAGAGACACTGGAGAGCACCAAGCTTTGGTGCTGAAATGTCAGCCATGGCAGGGATGGCTACACAGCAGGCATGGCATACAGCTAGGAAGTGGTACTGAGCACTTGGGTCAATGTCCGTGGTCCCCAAGGACACACACTGCCTGGGCAGTACTTGCATGCTGTGTTTTCAAAGTTCGCTTATATTCCTCTGGGAGTCTTGCATGTTGAGTGAAGCTTATTAAAATAGCTAGAGCTTTCATTACTTATTTTTCTCTTTGTTATAAGAGAAACTAGGACAACAACCCTGCTCTTGGAAGTCCAGCTGTTTGGTCTCTCTCCTCAAAAGTCACTAACTCATACCCTACAGCTCAGCACAACTTCGACTGCCCTGTTCTCAGCCTTTACATCTCCTTGCAGCTGCCACACCCAGAAGATAAGGCCTTCATACTGCCCAGCCTAATACCTGAGTAACCAAACTGACTCTTTAGAACATAGACAAAAAGCAGTTTGGAAAATGAAAAACTTCTTATCCTCCAGTAAGGCCTATGTATGTCCCTCTTGATGAATAATGATGCAGCAGTAAACAAAAAACTTACAGGAAGGCTTATGCTGCTTCTGAGGTATGCTACTGGTCAGTAGGTACATAAAGGGATAAGTAACATTACACACTTGATGAACCACACATGTGAACTCAAGTCCTGTGAAATAAAACAAGGGGAAAAACCTGCCAAGATGTTTGTTTTCAATGAGCACAAATAGGTGAGGTAGTTTTTTAGAAATTTTAATATGAAAAAAATGAGTCACTCCCACATTTTGGGAGAAACTTGAGTTCTCTGCCTCCCAGTATTCATGCCAACACCCAACCAGCCTCTAGGTTTATACCAGCTCATAGAGAGAGGAGGCCTGTCTGAAAGTGACAGCAAAGAAGGAAATGAACCCACTGAAGCAGAGATTATAAAATAATTTTTCCACCCCCTCAAATGAGTTGTGGTACTGACAACTGGTTTTTACTGTGCCTACTCCACAAAAACAGTTCTCATACAAACTATTTCCCAAAACAGATAAAAACCCCCTAGAATGCCAGTTGAGAAGAAATCCTGAGGAACTGCCAGCAAGTCTCACTCTATTCTGCAAAATAATTCAGGTTTCGTGAACATGAACCGTGCTATCAGCATTTTTAACACTCAAAGGATTTTTGTATTTCGCCCCTTAACGGTGGGGAAAGGCTCAGTACTGAGTCACCATAATGCTGCTGAGCTGTAGTAGTAGCCAGGAGCAGCACACAAGTGAAGCATCAAGAAGCACTACAATCCTTCTGGACTGCCACAAGTCCCTGGGATGGCCAAACGACTTTCACAGGTCAGGAGGCAGCATATTCTCCAGCTGACAGCACATCCTGCACAGCAGATGGGAGGGCAGGAGTTTGGCTTATCCCCTGTTTTCAGAAGGGTTGGTTTGGGGTTTTGTGATGCTTTTAAAAATTATTTTATTTTGCTCGAAGCAGGAGTCTTATAAAATTAGGCAGCTAAATTGCAGTATATACATTTTAAACCTGTTAAGGCATCTGAAATAGTCTGGTGATCAATATCAAAAGGTAAAGCCTTTCATATTCTAGTAGCTACTGTTTTCAACAAAATTAACCAAAATAAACTGCATCTGTATGAGACTCTTTTATTAAAAATACATATCTTCTGTTTCACATAAAAAGAACCAACACTTAACACAATTTAAAGAAGTTGGACAGGAACTACTTGAAAAAATACAGGTTCCTGTAATCCCAGAGCACCCAACCTTTACAGCACAAACTACAGATTAAAATCTTTCTGTTCAAGACCCCAAGTGCTTGTCCTGCACACAGCAGTGCCCAGGAAGGTGCAGCTGGTAAGGGGCAGGGGTGCTAACTGCTCCCCAGCCCTGGTGCTAGGCAGGATGGCAACCTTAGCAAAACACATGTTGGAGTGGCACTCGGCTCAAGTGTCACAGGTTGGCCATCTCTTTCTGTAACAAAGGAAATACAGCACAGCACTTCCAGGTAATTTCACTTAGGATCCAGCAGAAACATATTAACAGCATTGATGAAAGAAAACCAGCCGTGCTTCAGTGATAAAACATGATGCAATAATCTTTTTGCTAACTAAAACCTACGCTGGGATCCATTATCTTCTGGAGCCCCACTTTTCATAACTCATTAATTTCTTACTTTTGGAAAGACACAATTTTCAAAGCAACGAGTTATCAGCTTAGGCAGCAGCAAATACTGATTAAAAGTTCTGTGCATAAAAATCGAAGTCAGAATACAAAAGAGCTGTCAAAGGAATCTGCTATTAAAGTGCACAGAAAACAACACTGGCTAAACTTATATTCTTGTAGAAAGCAACAGTTTGCCAGGCTGTCATTCTTGTTCTGGAGATGCTGAAAATTCAGCTCCTTTTTGAGTCACTAAGAGACACACGCGTCAGCACTAAAAAATGATCAAAATGCTCTGCAAATTCAGGCTCAAAGAGCATATCAGACACTGACTGTAACATTTACTGGTCAACTCATAACTGAAGCAAGGCACAAAGAAGAAAAGACACTGAAGTGATGCGGAAGCAAAATGATGTTAGATCACAAACCAGTGGCCCCTTTGCTTTTACCTTACAAGGCATTAAAGGATATGGGCAGCTAAATCAGCAACAGTGTTGGACAACCAGACTAACAGTAAAGCAAAGTTCAGTTTTGAAGAAAAAAAAAAACTGGCTTGCATGTCATTACATGTGTTCTAATCCCATGCAAGTCTGATGAAAAAACATACTTTGTACTCTCATACCTTGTAAACCTAAGAGAGTATTAAACTCATGTGTAGGCCGTTAGAGGCATATGTCCTTGTGTATTCTTTATTGTATACAGTGTTAATTCCTTAAGACTGCTGTTTAATCAAGCACTGTCTTAAAGGCCTGCCACTTCACTGACTATGCTGGGAATTATGACAGAGATCAGCTTCCTCCCTCAGTCCACTGAAGTTACATGCTGTTATTTCACAGATTTTAACGGAACAAGATTTGCCCAGTACAGTACTCGTTTCTATTTCTAACACCTAGAAGAGGAAACGAAATGGTTTTCAGGACCTTGGATCAATTTTCAGAACTGGAATTAAAGAACTTGATTTGAAAAACACATTTATTCTGGAATTAATGAAATGCAAATACCCACTAAGCTCCAGAATGCCACCAATCAAAATAACTTTCCTTACTAGAATGACATTTTAAACACAAGACCTCAATTTACCAAAACCTGAGAGAATCAAACACTTGCCTTAATTATAGCACTCTTCAACTGACTGTCATCAAATTTTCAAGTAATGTCAAAGCCCATATTGAAGAGCTTTGATCCTTAGGGCTCACTTGCTGCTCTACATTTTAGAAGGCAAAAAGTGATTTAAAGACATCCCAGGTTGGGAATTTACAATCCCTCCTCATCCTTGTAGAGCTACAAGGTGAAGCTCACAATGTACTCAAAATCTCATGGAAAATAGGAATAGGAAACTTTCTGCATTTATGAGGTAGCAGCAGGGGAAATAACTGGATTTAAAAACAGCTGAATTTGAAAGGTGTTAAAGAACAAGGTTGTAAAGGTTGTCTTAATCAGTAAGGAAATAAGCTACAGCATGAAGTTTATCAACCATAAAGATCAACTGAAAAAAACACAAGCTCATTGTTGCTTGTAGATACAGTTTTAAAAAAACATCTAGATTAAAAACTCTCTCCCCAGGGTTATAATTCCGTTTTCGGAGAGATGTTGTTACAGCTTGTATATAGTGTTTCAAAAGAATCTTTCAGAGTCTTCAGAATTCTTTAGGATTTTCCTAACCCTTTTTGCAGTGTGATGTTTCTCTCCAGAACTGAACACTTTATATCCTACCTGAAAATCCATTTTTAAGAAGGCCTTCAAATAAAACATTCACAAAATAGATCTAGTGAATTTGTTAACTCAGTAAAAAACAGACTAGAAATAAGATTCACAAAAGATTTCTAGCCTCCAGTAATTCACAAAATGCTTTTACATCACAGAACAACATTCTTAGTTAAATCAATTTTATTCCTTTTGAAAGCTATTTTGAAAATAAAGGGTAATTTGGCACTAATTCTGTTACAGAAGTTTCTAAGCAGGTATCTGTTTGTGTGTACAGCGAAAAACAAAGAACAGTGCACAGAACTGAATTAGTCTGCCAAACACCCTTTTCAGACATCACATATTACATACAATATGTGGGTCTGGATGAACAAGAAACTCAGTGAATCCCCTACACCCACTTCCATTGCCTGCATCTGGACAATACATGGGTGCAAGGGTCCTACAATGAGATCAGAATCTAGGAATAGCTTATCAAATTTCAAAGAGATTCAAACCTGCTTTGACATCAGTAAGCAAAAGGATGGATGCATACAATTGTTAGTGTACTGTTCCAGCATTAGCAGCAACTTTGACCTGTAGTGAGCTCAGAGTCAAAAAAAGAAGATAAAAAAAAAAAAAAGGAAATGTGGCCAGGAAGTAACAGACCAGGACAGCAACAGACTTGCTGAACTTGGGCCTCCACAGCTTTACGCCTTGGGAAACTTGGCCTTACAAAGGATTATGCTCAGTGCAGGGCAGCACAGAGAATCAAGCCTGCAATTTTCATGGCTTGAACGAGCACAAGAACTTTGCTTCCAGGCTTTGTCTCCTTAAGATGAATGTGTCACAACAGGAATGTCAATTTCTACGGCAGAGAGGCGAGAACGTGCAGAGTAGGGCTGAGAGGCATAGCTGTGCATGCTAGGGGCGTGGGAATACAAGGGCTGCCAGAAAGGAGAAGGGAGGCTTTTGCATGCACAGTACCACAGGAACAGCAGGATGGAAGTGAAAAACAGACCGCCAGCACTGGCAATGGCAATAAATACCGAGATGTCAAAGCTGAAGACGGGCTCGTATTTTCTGTTCAGATAATTGTTATAAAAAATGACCCAGATGGACGGAGTGAGACAAATGGCACAGGCAAGCAGGAACAAGAGGCCGGCCACGAGATGGCAGCCTGCACTGTTTACCAGGCACTTGGCCAGTTTGACGTTCGGCACGCTCGATACAAAGGCTGTGTTACACATGCCAATCATGCAGAGGAACAGAGCTGAGACAGCAGTAAACATACTCAGAGGAAGGGCAAACTGAAGAACACGCAAATCCAGCTGATCGACGGCCGTGTACCACTGTGGGTCATAGATCACACAGTCTCTGCTCCCATCAAAGCGTGCACACTTAATCCAGAGTCCAGTGTAAACCGTCACATTCCTCTCATTCTTGTTGTATGTGTACAGTCTCATCTGCCTCCAGTTTGGAAGCAGAACTGCTGCAAGCAGCCCAGCTACTGAGGCTGTTCCGCTGAGGAAGGCCAGTACAGTCGCTGCATGAACATCCCGGCAGCCCATATTTGCCCACAGAGGTTGTTTCCTGCAATTAAGAAGAAAAATAGAAAAGAAAACCATGGACACGGGACTGACTACAGTTGATATGTGCCAGGTTAATAAACTTCGATGACAGCTGGTAGGCACTGTAACTCTGTGGCACCTTCTTTGTCTGACACACTTAAGACAGTGGTAACACCATCACATTCACGCTTTAATGAAATGTCATGTTATTTCACAGACTGTTATGACTCCTCAGCTGACAGACTGCTAAAGTTGTTGTGTTCAAGATGAAAAAGAAGCATGTTTGACTGTGTGAGTCTACGCAGCCATGATTTAAGCATGATTTAAGTTCACCTGTCCTCGATTGGCAGCTCCCTGTCTTTAGCCTAGATACAATACCAGGGTGCATGCTCAGTCCTACCACGCTGCTGCATGAGTAAAAGGGAGTTGCTTAAAATCTACATCATTAGACTGGCAAGGAATGCATATGTAGGCAGTCATACACATTGTATATAGGCCAAACTGTTGACAAGAGCTGCTAGATAGTGGTGGAGGCTCTGTTGAGTAACTTACTATGAATTTTTCAACAGCAACTACCAGCCCTTACACACTACTCCTGCCTTTCAGAATCAACTGTCCAAGCACACAATTACAGAAAGCAGATGGCTGTTCAGCTTTCACATTTTCCACTTCAGAGCAAATGTTAATACTGCCTCCTTTTCAATATAACCATTGTCTGTGCACCTACTATGGCCTCTTGCCTGCAGAGATGCTGAGAAACAGTCTCAATGGTGGGTCTTTAAAAAACAAACAAACAACAACAACAAAAAAGAGACTCAATTCAAGTTATTCCTTCTCTGCATGCCCAAGATATTTTTAAGAAGCCTAACACACAACAGGCACTGAGCATTTACCCCAGAGTGTACTTGAAGCTGGACACTAAGAATTATAGTACCAAAAAATGAACAGATACTTTGCAAATTCTCATTGGGTGCCATTAGGTTATAAACGCCTCCTGAAATTTCTTCTAAATTATTATACTGCATTGTGTATATTTGTCAAATGTCCAAAGTCATAATCCAATTCCTTAAGTAACAGAAGTTCTGCTTAATGCATATGCAAGTAATGGGGTATCTGTACCACAGAAAGGTTACAGACACGGTTGCAAACCTAAAGGCAACTGGATCTGATCCCTCATTCTCCTTTTATTACTTGCAAACATCCAATGACTAGGGAGCTCCAGTTTTCAGATAAAGAATTCCCATGTATACTGGAAACACACTAAAATTATTATCAAGCCATACAGCTAGCCAGCATTCTACTGATTTATAGACAAATAAATGAAGTTCAATTTGTTTCCTAAGAAATCATTAAGCAATTGTTTTATGCCATCTAACCCTGAAGAACTGCACTGGAATGTGGGCACTATTTAAGTGCTGATCACAGTCTTCTAAAGAAGCACTCTGGAAAGAAATAATGACAATCACATTTTGGCAAATAAGGTAGTTTGTGGCATAAAAGACAGCATTATATTGTTGCTAAGGACAGCTGAGCGTGGGCAAGCTTCTCTTCCCATGGCAGTAAACTTTTCAGACGGCAGGTCATTAACGGGATAGCCCCTGGGTAGGGGGACCAGAGAAGTACTTCCACCGTGATTAATTTGATGCTTGACCCTAGCTTCGGTAAGGTCAAAACAATCAACTTGCGAGAAAATGGAACTACAGCAAATGCACTTCAGGGGTAAATCTAATATAGCACCAAATTTTGTTCTCCTCAGGCTCGATGGTTTTGCTCTTCCATAAAGAGCTTGCCTTTACCTAGATAAAACTTCCATGCAGACAGGGCATACTCCAAGGCAGAGCTATATGTGAACCAGCTGGAATAAACACATGATCAATCATTTTCAGGAACCTGCTGTTTCTGAAAATTCATTTGCAGTAGAGATTACTGCAAATAGGCAAGTTACCCACCATCCCTTCCATCAGGGGAGACCTATCCCATCTTACAAACACTGCTGGCTTTATGACTGTAATTATAGCTTCAGATCCCCAATGAATACAATAACAAAACAGGTGTTGTGTTAATTAGATAGCTTCAGTGTACTTACCAGGAGTGTCCTCAAATCAAGAGAAACCTTAGCAACTTCTCTAAGTAGGAAAAAAGGTGTTACTGGATCTAAGAAACAGAACAAAGAAAGAGTTACCATCACATTTGTTTCATGCAATTTCAGCAACAGCATTTACACTGCAATTCAGGAATTAAAAATGTCAGCTACGTTTGCATTAGGCCAACTCCATCACCTTCTACAATTTTCTCTTATTTAAAAAACAAAACACAAACTGCTTTTTTTTTCCCTTTCTTCAAATTTTTCCTCGAGTTTTTCTGTTTATTCATCTCAAAAGGGTGCAAAAAACTACCTTTCTTATCAATGTTCCAAGACAGAGTTTGCATCCTGAACTTTAAGTTTTTTAGTAAAAAATCCGTAAGAAGTCATACAGATCGATTACTGCAGATGTTAGGTTCAAGGCTGCACTTAAACAGCAGTGAAGAAAGGTGCAATGATTATTTAATGTCAAAAACCAAAAAAAGCACAAGCTCTAAATTATTCATATATCTCGTGGGTCTGTATTCCTTCCTGCCTTCTACAGGAAGGTTTCAAGGAAATTGGAGAAAAACAGGAAACACTGGTAATGCCTTTTCAGTGGCTGTCCAGCTTTTCCAGAGAAGAAAAGATCCACTTGTGGATTTTCTACACCCACATCTAAGTCCCAACATCAAATCTGCAGGTCACAATAGGTAAATCACTTTACTACTGGACAGCACCAGACCTCCAAGTATGTCAGTACGTGACTGCTAGAAGTTACAATCTAAAGGTGAATTTGTTGGGTTAACGTACAAAGACAGAGTTTATTCTAAACTACCCATATCAAACCCTGAAATATTATAAAATTCATATAGGAATAGACTCCATCACCTACAAAAACATCAAAGAAATTCTTCTATCGAACTATCTAAGCAAGAAAGAGACTTTACAACCCGGATTTTTTCACTAAATGAGAAAGAGGGCTTCAGATTTGGAAACTCCTTAATATGAATGCTATTGCATATAAGACACAGAAATGCAGACAGCAGACAGCTTGGAGCAGCAGCTTTTGCTCAGTAAGATTATTGATGAATTGTCAAGCTTTCTGTGCACTATGCAGCTGAAGCCAAGATAAACACAGACCTTCCTCTGCAGGTTCACACCCATTAACAACCACAACAACATAATTAAGTAGAAAATTAGTACAGGAGACAAAACTGTCAAAGGGAGCTGTGCCCAGCCCAAGAGTCCCTCCCATTAAATGATGAAACCTGTGTTGTAATAAACAGATACAGAGATATTCCCTAATATGCAACTCATTTCTGCAGACATGGAGTTTCTTCTGATTTTCTCTTCCTCTCTTTAGTCCATCTGATTTTACTGTCTATCCCCGGTGGTGCTGAACAACCAGGGACCTCAGCCACTTCTCAACTAGCTGTCCAAGGGAAGAAAGCACACGTTGGCCAGATAAAAACCTGCTTTGCCTTGGATTCTTGGCTTCAGCTTCTTCCACCCAAGGATTTGAAAGCCGTACTGTGCAAGGCTCTTATATATGATCCACAGAAATTACCAGTCCTAACAACATCCCTTAATAAGAAGAGGTTTTACCCCTTATTCTAAATATCCATGTTGCTGTAACAAAAGATGTTGGTTGAACCTGGTTAAAAACTGATAAATCATTAAAGGCCCACAAGATAAAAAAATGAAACAAAGAGGACAAAAAGTCTATTTACTATAGACACAATTCAGACGTGAGTAAAACCAGCTCTGTTCCCTTGCATGGCCTTGAGAAGACCACGGTCTGGGAAGTATCCCTGTTTTGTAAAGCCCTGTAGGAGAGAAGTCACAGTATAATTTATCAATACAATTTATAAATAAAAGTGTCTAACTATCCACAACAGCATGAGCAGTTTAAAATCTTTTATGAGTTTTGCGTAACTGGCCACCAGAAACTGCAGGCCTAAAGCTCGCCAGTTTCAAGGGACTGGCTCAGAACCACTACCACCACTCTTGTTTTTTTAAAATCTGGGAATCAATCATGCAGTTCTACGTTCTACAAAACTCTTTTAATATTAAATACAGATGTACCGGATTAGAATTAACGATCCTAGCTAACAGACTAGGATTTCCAAGAAAAACCTGGAGCACGGGTAATTATTTTACCGACTGAATCGGAAAGAGCAGCTGACGCACGGAGAGAACACAGAGCGTCCCCCAGGGAGCACCGCCGACCCCCACCCGCGACAGCGCTCCGAGCCTGCCGCACTGCGACCCCGGCCTCGCGGAGGAGACGGGAGGTGCCGCAGGGCCCGGGACCGCCGTGCCGGGGCCGTGCCCGCTCACCTTTCCGCCGCACAGAGGAGGCGCCACGGCCGCCGCCATGGCCGCGGAGCCGCCGCGCTGAGGGGAAGCCGCGGCCGCGCGGGGCCTTGTGGGGCGGAGCGGCCGCGCCTGCGCAGTGCGGGCCCGGCCCCGGCCCGGCCCGGCGATCCACCGCGCTCCGCCGCCCTTCAGTCCCGCTCGGCAGCGGAGAATTCCGCCAGCCCTGGCCCGAAACGTCGATGCTCTGAAACACGTCCCTCCGATAAACCACCTGACCGCGGGTCGGAGGAACCTGACCACGGCAGGCAGCTCCAGTCAAGCTATGCTGTCTCTTAGTTCAAACACACCTTCACTCTTCCTTTATGAGTGAGGTTAAGAACGGTGTTCACAAAGTCTGGAAAAAACAAAATGCTATTTTCAGCTACGAAATAGCCTCCAGCAAAGGAGGCTCAGGGATAATGTTATAACTCTACAACCCCCTGAAAGGAGGGGGTCAGTCTCTTCTCTCCCAGGCAACCAGCGACAGGACGAGAGGCATGGCCTCAATCTGTGCCAGGGCAGATTCAGATTGGACATTATGAGAAATTTCTCCACAGAAAGGGGAATGGGCTGCCCAGGGAGAGGGAGGGTAGAGGTGTCCGAGAAAACAGTGGATGTGGCACTGAATGCCATGGTCTAGCTGACAAGGTGGTGTTCCATCGGTGGTCATACTCAATCTCACAGGTCTTTCCCAACCTAATTGATTTTGCAATCTGTAAAACGGAGTATCAAAAATTACTGACAGCCTATTCTTAGCTTTCGTGGAAGCACATTAGCCCCAAACACAGTAAAATTAGAGAAAAATCACAGTAAGAATCAATACCAATGATAAAATAAATGCATTATGAGAAACCATACCTTTCTTCCCAGTGACCACTTTAACAAAATTTAAAGAAGCAGGGTATGATATATTACAAAACAAAACTAGACCAAACTAGAAGGCTTTGATGTATTCAATCTTATTTTGCTTTACAATCCATTTAACAGCTTTAAAGTAGAAAACACCCTGACAATAAAGGACTTCAATTTTTTTTCAAAGTAAAATGTGTGCCTTCTTGTAATACAAAATCTAGAACACTAAATATATCAAAAAATTTATGGCTCTGTTGAGAAGAAGCCGTTTTCTTCACCAAAATGTAACATAAGCCCAACTCCATAAAAGGAAGGAATCACAAATTAAGCATGGGAATTTGGAATCAGGATTTATACAACTAAGATGACTACAGTAGGCACCAGCAGGCGTCAAGAAAACCTCCAACATTACAAATCAGTCTTTCCTTTTGTGCTCCTACAAGTCACTTCCTTGCAGCCATTTATATGTTTTCCTTTAAATCCTTAAAAACAACAAAACCGCTACAATCCAGTGCCTGTCACAACAGCAGGACCGGTTCACCTTAGAAGCCCCAGACCCTGGAAAATTCCTCCATCAGAAACTTCCCTTGGTTTTTCTGATGCCCAGAGGACATGTAGTTGTTGAACTTGCTCCTTTGTGCAAGTTATATTCCCTCCATTTCTCTCACTTGGCAAAAAACATTCCAGGGATCATCAGTTGTTAAGCAGTGCTTAGAATCGCACATACTTTGGTCTTTACATTGTTGAGTTTTGTAGCCAACATAAATAAAAATAAAACCAATTTGCCTCTTTCCCCACTGTGCCCTACCCAAGTGACTAAACAAATGGAGGCAAACAGGCAATGAGGGAAGAGGGAACAATTACATAGAAGGTCTGCACAAAAAAGGCTTCGTGTACATAGTTAAAATGTGTTGGATCCATTCAGGAATGCCAGCTTCTATTAATGTGCTCTTCTTTGGAAGTTTGTAAAAGCAGGAGTTTCTTTTTCCGATAGTCCTCATTCACCTCCTCTGCTTGCTCATCTACGGATTTTCTTAGGCATGTTTTGAGTTCCTCAATTCCTTCTCCAGTATACGTAGATATAGGAATCACCTCTCTGAATTCAAGAGTATTTGCTGGAATCATTTCTTCCTCTAGTAAGTGTAAGAAGTCTGAGAAATTGTATTGAAAGAGTTAGTTCAATCCCAAAATACTGTATCACTACAAAGCCCATAAAATCCAATTAAATGTAGAAAATAAACTTTAATAAATTACAGTTATAAACATAACTTCAATTAATATACCTATTATCTGCTTAATTAGTTTTTTAAAATATAGCTAAAATCTCAGAAAGCAAGCCCTACCATAGCAGTTATACCATTCTTAATGCTGCCATGAGAAGATTCTATGCACTTCCAATGGGTACAAAGAAATCCCAAATTGCAGAATATGGGAGAATATGGTCTTAAGCCATTCTGGTTTCTTTACACTCCAGGAAAGAGGAAGCAATTCACTCTGCTGTAACTGCAAGATTGAAGTAAACCTACATAGACCTGTCCAGAACTTTCCTGTGTTTAGGCTAAAGTCCCATGACAAATGGTATATATGTCAGTGCCTGGAAAGAGACCTTCTATGCAGGTTACTCTTATTCCACACCTAGACTGGAATCCTACTCCCCATATCATGGTTGGGAAAGATCATCTGGGATATCTCTATTTTATTACAATCCTTTCCCAACAGTGAAGCTATTACAAACAATACAATATATAGAGAGATCTGCATATAAACAGAGCTCTAAATGCAGGAAGTGATTTTAAACATATGTTCAAATAATAAATTTAATAGCTGACTTCAAATTCAAACACTCTCTAACCAATGGAGAGTTATCCACAGGAAATCTTACTACTACTTTTGATGAAAGTTATTGTTGGAATTTCATTTACCCTGAGGATTCTTTAGTTGTGTCATAAGTTCATCCAAGTTATCCTTTGCACAAGGCAAATCCATTTTATTAATGGCAAGAAGTGCAGGTTTTGTTAGAAGTTCCTCTTTGTACAGTTCCAGTTCCTTAAAAGAAAAGTATATTTCCTTAGTAAGTACTTGTATTTTAACAAGTGCTACTTCAATTTTACATCTCCTCTCGCATTTGTTTAATTGCCTAAGTAGCCTCTCTTGCCCAAGCAGCTGTGAGTTGGACTCAGGTGCTCAAGGCTGATATATTAAAGCACAGAAGAAAATAATGTTCAGTGATTCAGTCATTTTTTGCTCAAAGACAGATTTCAGGTAAACAGGCTAGCTCATTTTGAAATGCCTCTTACAAAAAGAATGAGAGTTTTGGGTTTTGTTTATTCTGACATCCCTGAACACAAAATCAATTTCAGAAAAACTTCAGACCCATAAAACATACAAGAAAATAATTTGGAGAGTGTTACAATTCTTAAACATTTTAATATTAGAAAATCACAACCTGAATAAACTAAACAGCAATACCTGAAATTTAGAAGATTCATCAACTTAAGTCACATAGGTAGAGATAAATGTAAAATTACATAATATGTATTATTTTAATCAGAAGCACAGTTAAGAGATAGAATCAGTGAATGTCTTCAAAGCTGGGGCCTGAATGTCTTACCTATGTTAGTCCATGCAGTAAGGACATGAAGGCAGGGCTTTAACTGTAACCACATATTTTTACTTCTTAAAATGCTACTGGATTGGGGAACTGAAAATGACGTGTCTTTCTACCTTTATTTGACTGTAAGAAATATGCCACATGCTGCATAAATTATTAATAGAACTGATTAATCATGTGGTATCCAACATAAACTTTACTGGACAAGTAAAAATAAAGACTTCATCATTACTGAGACTCTCTTTGTTAATTGGCTTCATATTATAAATCCAGAAGACACACTAACATCAGACCAAAACTGAGCCATTTTCTTGACTCAATACGTAACTACAACTGTCATATAGAAAGATGAGAATTTACCTTTGTTAGGAGCAATATTGTTTCAAAGGCTGTTCTGAACTGAGTCTTGATAGACAGCTGAAATCCAGAAATATCAACCTGAAAAAGTTACACAAAAACAGCCTTTGTGGTGTAAAATTATGTTGCAATATCAAGCTACTCTCCATCAAAACTACTCTGTCCTGGAATGTCCATGGCTATGTGTTCACTCCTGGGCAAATAACAGAGGGCAATTATACAGTAAAGAACCATCAGACACTGGAGGCACAAACTGGTTAATTCTGATACAGTGTTTCTCAAAGGTCTGGTTTTTAAGCTTCTTATGTGAATCTGCCAGAAAAAAAAAAATCACACTTTTGTTATGCTTGGAATACTTCACTATTCTAAATTAATTGGAAATTTTCAATTATAAATTGTATTTAAGAATTTAATTTATCGTTAGTCATTTGAGCATTCCATCCCGTAAATAGAATTACAGCTACATTTATCATAATCATGCAAATTACAAATGGTTTTCTAAAATTCCAATTACATTGCAATTAAGACGTATTTTATTTATTGCACTTTGATTTCAATAAACTGTAAATTTAATTTAACTTACAACTAAGAGAAGCTGTTTGGTTCTTTCTACGTGTTTGAGAAATTTGTGGCCCATTCCTTTGTTTGCATGTGCACCTTCAATCAGTCCTGGGAGATCAGCTACTGAAATCTAGGAAAACAAAAGTTTCAAACAAAATAGTTTCAGTAAGCAAACCCAGGGACTTTAAACTATCAACAGTGATTATCATTGTACATAAACAAAAGAACCCAGACAAAATAATAGGAGTTGGCTGTTTCAATACATTTACTATTTATCATTAGAAGCAGATTAAACAAAATGCTGCTATTACACAGACTTGGTGCTCCTCATGTTGCCCTATTTTTTATAGCTGTCTGCAAAGTACAAAATAGAGGCTAATAATACCTCAGCAGAGATCTCACAAAATTTAGCTATTACCTAAGAATAAAACAGACTCTGAAAGGTGAGCAGCTTAGGCTATCACAGTTGTATAGAATTCAAACTGTGACTGAAAAAGAAAATAAAGTCTGCTCCTTGTGGCTACAGAATATCATTACTCCAAATAAAAACCCACTTAACACTGCTCCCCTGAGCATGAGAAGATACAAGAATTTTGACTTCTGCTCTTCAGCTCAAATG